ATTTTTTTATATTTGGGGTCATGTTAGACAGCTTCAACATGCTATTATTAGACAGCTCTAGGTCCAAGCATGTATACGTTATACCACCTTCTTGGGAGGATGTAGTTGTGGAAAGCATGTTCATTGATGGAATGGTTGGTACAAATGAAATCGTATTGTCCCCATGCTACCAAAACGTGCATCCCTATGTCATCTACTACAATGTGGAGAGAAAGACGATCAGAAAAGTTAAAATCCTAGGAATGGAAGTGCTTTAGGGTAAGAGTTTCAACACCTATCTCAACTATGTTGAGAGTGAAGCTTCTTTAAGCATTTAAAGAGAGGCAAGTCTAATTTTCATTTTGCGTGTTGCTTTTTTGTTGGGAAATTTGCCAAAAGAGGACAAAAAACACAACTATTGTCCCCTTAGAATAAAATCAAATTTTGTCACTTTTAGACTTCCACTACCCTTTTTGTATAAACAAATTCATAACAATAAATTAACAAGGCAAAAAATTGAGGAAAAATATAAAATATGAAATAGAGTAACATGTGAATATATGAAAAATATTTTTAGATTCAAAAAATGTTTGGAATAGTAATTTCAAAAATTGGATAAATGGGTAGTCAGGGCCGTGCCTGACTAGAAGATAGTCAAGAATGTGCTTGGGGCCAAAATTGTTTTATTAGTTTTAAGGGCCATTATTTCACACTAAAACGCCTACAACTCTATTGGTAAGTAGTTTCATATATAGGCTCAAGGTCATGGGTTCAACATTGTTTATATACATATTAATTTTTTTTCAAAAATTCACTGTTAATGGGCCAAAAAAATGTATATGCTTGGGGGCCCAAAATCTTCAGGCACGGCCCTGTGGGTAGTAAATCAGATCTATTATCTACGGCTGTTCAGAGTGTGCAATCTACTAACAACTAATCCATCTAAAGGGTTTAGAATGCATAATACACCAAAAACATATACATCTTCGAATGAAGAATATGATATCTGCCTTTCCTTGTTTGTTCTGGAGTTTTACTAGAACATAACATATACGAAAGATTCACGCGTCTACCTTAGCAGAACATATCTTCTTAATTTTAATGTTTTATCTGAGTCTGTGGGATTACGTAGCTACTGGTTAAACTATTTGATAAATTTGGTAGAATGTATCTTTTACCAACGTTTTTTGAGTCACCATCCGAAAATCTAGAAAAATCTAAAGAATAATGGTTAGTAAATATTCTCTAAATATTTTTGTTTCCTTTTTTAATATTTTTTTGCCATGAACGTGTTTAAGTTTCATATTTGGTATATATAACCTATTATATACTACCTTTTTTATTAGATGACAATATGATAACTTGGTTCAGTGGTTTATATGTCTAAAACCTCTATTAGTAACCCAAGTTCGAGTAATTGCACTGCACATGTTTTCCTATTTTTCGTCCTTTTTGCTGTTTATAACACTAATCCTTGAAGTTAACATCTTTGTAGAATTTAGTACGCAAAGTACTCAAAGGAAGCAATTAGCATCTTTGTGGAATTGTCCTGGTAAACTCATACGAGTGGTTTTATGGTTCTTATATTGACGCAATTTATATTGACAGAATGGTCACACGGTTTCTGAACAACAAGATAACAATCAAACATGTCTCAACAACAAGAGCAAAGCAAAAAAAAATTTCCATACTTGTAATGTAAACAAGAGAAACCAATCACATAAAGAGAGGTTATCATATTCTCTCTGTAGTTAAACAATACGCTAAGAGATCAAGGATGACATCAAGACCTAACGAGAGCAAACAAAATTAGCACAGCGACATGTGTCTGCTACAATGTTGTGTCCGTTTGATGCTAGCTGTGATGATAAACAAATTACTGGCTCGGTTTCACTGCTACAAGTCATGGAAGAATCTCGAGTTATGGCATTGATTTTGGCTGTTTCGTATAAGATTCTTTCATGACTTGTTTGATTTTGGCTGGTTCGTATAAGATACATCATCCCATATAACAAAAACGTCTTTCACCTTAGTGATACTAGTCTTACACCTCAACAAAAGAACAACTTTGCTCAATCACAAATATAAAAAGATTCAAGTCATAAAATAACCAATTATAAAAAAAGATTGAGCATAAACGTAGCTGACATAGCAACTATGTTCTAACTTCCAGAAATACTCCAAACAATCTGTGATGAAGTAAATCAGAAGCAGACAATCCTTTCTCGCTAGAATCAAAAACCTACACAAAACACCGTTTGAATCAGCTCTAGTTCTAGTACTTCCACCATCGAGATCCACATAAGTGTTGTGTATATTTAACTACCTTGACGGCGGATCCCAAAGAAAGCGAAGAGGCTATAAGAGAAGACGATTTGATCCGAGAAATATAACATGATCCATCGCTCAACGCCGAATAAAAACTAAGAAGAAACCGTAAATACGAGACTGGAGTAATAGGGGGCGATGAAGAAAGGGCTGGGTTAGGTTAGAAGTTAATGTGAAAAACTATATTTCAAAATAATAATCCATTTGATACACATTTTGGGTCTAATACGAAGGATAAAATGGGATTATCATTATTGTTTATACTAAGTAGATAAAAATCTCAAGTATAATTCTAAGGGGACAATATGTTAATTTTTTTATCCCTTTTTGGCAAATTTCTCTCTTTTTTTTTTCTATTGACGTCCTAGTTTGAAGCTTCTCTGTAAGCAGCAAATCTTCTTGATATAAACTTTTTAAGGTTATCTAAAATAGAGACTTATAAAATGTGATCTTTCAATGCTGTGAAAGGGAGAAGAGTTATAGATCCATGAAATGAGCAGAATGTAGCTATTTTTCTTAAAATATCCCCGCCAGAGAATGATATTTGTCCAAGCCCTTATTAATTATAGATGATATGATAAATCACAATTGTCCTAGATCAAATTTTGATTTTATTTATTAGAATCTTAGTTACATAGTTCAGCATTGCTGAAGTTATTGGTACAAAAGAAATCGCGCGTCTTGTAGCACACTTCATATTTTCTTTTTTGAACACACACTTCCTACGTTAAAGAATTCGTTTATTCACTGCAGAGTCTAAGATAGCAGGAGACATATAAATTTAAATTCATACGTTTTGACATACAGAACTGAGAAGTCAAGTATCATAATATAACTATGGTTTAGATCCAATAAATTATCAAATTGTTGCTATTTTGCTTAAGATCATTTAACTCGTAATAATATGATATTTTCAAGTCTTTGTAAATACTAAATAAAAGGACAATTATATTGAGATTTATAAGATCCTAAACAATTAAGGTTTAAAGATTACTAGGTGACCGGCCCGCACCCTGTGCGGGCATAAGTATGTTCAAAAAATTATTATAATAGTGTATCGGTATAGAAGTAACGGACTGTACATCATCATACTACCATGTTTTGGAGAAACCCTACACCATGGAGAAAAGCCGGTACTCAATATTTGACATTGTATGAGAGGGTATAAAATAACGCACATGGTGCGAACATTTATTGTGTGTATGTATAATTGTAAAGTCTCAAAATAATTAGTGTGTTTTACGAAAATATTTTCATTCGTCATCAAATGGATTTGCTAAGACTTCTTATAAATAGTGTACAGTTTTATAAGTAACAGATATTATATTATCCTTTGTAATTAGAATTGTATTGTATATATGTTGTAATTTTTATTTTTAGGTGAATAATAGTATCAGGTTTAATTTTCATAATTATTTCTGTACACATAGTAAAAGAAAATATAATAAATTTCAAAATAAGCTCCCAAAATAAAATTAAAATTATTATCCATAAATAATACTCCCTCCGTTTCACTTTATTTGTCATTATAGGTTTTTGCACATAGATTAAGAAAATATTTAATTTTACATATTTTCAAGATAAAAACACAATTACCTATACACCTAACCATTTTTTAACCAATAGAAAAATAGAACATTATATAAAACTAATAAATTTTGTCTCGAAACTTTAAAACGACACTTAATTTGTGACAAAAAATAAGTCTACAATGACATATATTTTGAAACGGAGGGAGTATAAATTTATGAAGTACAAAATCTCGATAAAGGTGTAGCAAATCCATTAGACACCTGCATCTCCATTGACATTTATTGTTAAATTATTGTAGTATTTATTTCCTTGCTTTCAGTTGTAGGCTTGTAGCTCAAGTATTATTTACATGTCTAACGAGAAGGGAAAAATATTATGATTCTTTGTAAATTGTGTACATTTTTTTTTCTTAAAAGCGAATACTGTATAAACAAGTCGTGGGCGATGACACTGGCAAGACCAAAAAAAGGTTCAAACTCCTTTGGTGGGTTCAGTGTGCAATAAACACTTTGTTCTGTGTGAAGGTAACAAAGTGCATTTAGTTCGTTAGAACCTAACAACCACAATGAATGCAGTTCCCAATTCAAACTTTTTAATTTCAAACAAAATTTGCTAACAAAGCAAAGCACATTTCCCTCATAAATTTGCAGGAATATATTTTTAAGACAACGACATTAAAAATATATCACATAGGGACGGAAATGAGGAAAAATCCATATAAACAAAAAATAATTCTTAACTTCCGCCAAGAAAGATAAATTCACTTTAAATTTATTGAAAAGCTATAATATAATATCTACATTTGATCATATTTCAAGCTAGAACTTCAAAAAATCAAGAAGAAAAAAACTTACAAAATTCCTTTATATGTTTTATAGAGAAATCTGGAAAGCCAGAAACTTTCAGTTGGTTAAACAGTAATTGATGTACTCCCCACTTTCCTCCATCATATGCTACCTTACACAACAACAAAACAAAATGTAATATCGAATAAGTTTCTTTACTAATATTAAGTTGACACGATACCCTATATCAACTGTTACTTAACATTTCTTATAACGAATTATGACTGACTTATCCAATAATGTCTATTGCCTTTGAAAGTTTTAGCTAAACATGAGTTTAAGTGGCTTACTTTTGCAAAATATGGGTTGGGTCAGCTATTGGTTTTCGAGGTGGTGAGTGTCATCAAGAGCATCGAATTCCCAATCATTGATTTCATCAGCCAAGAACTCTTCTCCATCGTCCAGTTCCAACTCCAGCTGATTCTTTACCGCGTCTTCTTTCTCTGATGACCCTTTTTTACTGTCCGGAGAATCATCATCAGCAGGTTTTGTCGGGACTGTGTCGGAAAGTTGAGTGTCGAGCGTCATTTTCAGGGAGGGTGAGCGTGAAGAAGAAGATGTTCTTGCAGGAGATTCTATATCAAGAAGCGGGAGCTCGATAGACTCAAACTCTTCTTTTGTTTTGTCTAATGCCTCAAATAGTTCTTTCACTCTTTTATCGTCTTTCCTGGATCAAACAACACCAAACCACGAGAGAATGAAGTGTTTTTTTTTTAACTCATACTTTGCTGAATATGACTATAACGTCTAAAAAAATGAATGGACATGTTTTTGTAACTTTACCTGGAGATACCTTCCGTCTGTGAATAGAACGGCTTTTTCATTGCATCCACCACACTTAATGTTGTTACAAACTGAAAAGGTTAATAAACAAGAATCATATCGGCTTTTTCAAGCTTAGGAATGTTTTGTTTCATAATTAAAACTGAGTGAAGTGGTCTACACGTTTATTTTCTAAAGCTACTTACCTTAGCTTCGAGGTCCAGATACTCCTTCTCAAGCTGTTTTCTAGATTCGATTGGCTTTGCATCCTTATCGTCTATCTTTCTTTCTGATTCCAACCTGATATTTTCCCATAAACAGATCACACAAAGCTACCAGTTTTAATATGTTAATCAACTAAAATTTACAGGAACAGGTAAGTGATATATTACCCTTTATTTGGTTCCAAATTTTCAATTACACTTTGGATCTTTGGTATAGAAGGATCCAATTGTTCCTGAGTTGATATTAACAGTATGAATGTGAGATAAATCTTTGATTTACAGTCTAAGGTCTGACATGAAAGGAAGTGGCATCAAATACTATTTTGTACTGTGTCATGATAAAGTTGTCATATAGAAATAATACCTTGTAGAAAGAGAGGAGTTGAACAATAAGGTCTATGAAATGGTCACCATATCTCTCCATCTCCCCACTTGAGTATCAATCCATGGCAAATTACAGATCACATGCAAAGTAATTAAGGAAGCAACATAATAGCTGAGTTCTTTGCATAGTGGATATAAGACATACCTCACTTGTATTTCCTTTTGTTGAGCAAATCTAGACTGTATAATCCAAGTCTCTTCCAAAAACTTGATCCACTTATTCACACAACATCTGCCTCTACTCGGCATGAACATATCGAACGAGTTAGCTCGTCTTCCTACAACGTAAACCAGCAAAACATCACAACTATTCTTATACTATGACAATTCTTATGTTCAATCTAGCTAATAAGAACATGTAATTAAGAAGTAAAGTTACCTTTGACTTCAGGTGCAAAAGAATTTCATTACTTGCATTATCAAACTGCTCTCTTTCTTCTTTGGCATTGCGAAGGCGAGCCTGGGCAGATGTTATTGAGGTGTTGACCTTCAAAAAGAAAACAGTGAACTCTAATATGACCTACAAATCTTAATCTACCAGTTCAGTAAAATTTTCTGTAATAAGGTCTTATGAAAAAAAAAAAAAGATACCCTTTTCAGCTCAGTTTCAAGATCATCCTTCATAATCTCAAGGTTTTTCAGTTCTGCCTCTACATCCTGAAAATCACATTTATGGATGATAAGAATGTGTACAAGAAAACACACTGAGCCAATTTTTCTTTGACAAAGTTATGGGATGCAAACCTTCTCCCCCTGGCTGACTTCATTGGTTTTGGAAAGTCGGAAACTAAGAGCTTCTTCTTTTTGACTTCTGCTTTTAGACATGGAAAGAAAGATAGATGTAAACTATAATAGTATTATAGAAAGCAGATAAAATTTTAGACTACCAGGTTACATTTGCTCTCACCTATGATCCACAATTCGGTTTTCAGCTTTAGAGGTGGAACTGAGTAAAGATTCTGACAGAACTTTGAGTTTATCAACCTACACAATACAGAGTGAACTTAGTTACACGTTTAAATGCAAAATTAGGGTCATGAGGTCGCACAATAGTGACATCAATGCAATAACAATAATAAAAACAGAGTTCGGTTCTGAGTTGTGTGCAGTTTTCACCTTCTCATTGTGGAGTTGAAGAGAATCTCCATTTCTTAATGATTTTTTCTTTAGCAAGAGTGCTTCTAGCTTAGAAAAAGTGCGAACTTGCTCAAGAATTTCTCGGAGAGCCTACAGCCACCCAAGTTTTTAGTACATCTCACAGTGATTGATCCAGAAAATTATCAAGAAAATCATGAAAATTATCAAGAAAAACAGTGCAATAAAAGATGAGGGTAAAAGAAACAATAGCTGGGACAATCTCACCTCGGTTGATGCAGCATTGGTTCCACCGGGTTTGGAACTATCTTCATTTGAAGCCTGCTCAAGAACCTTGACCTTCGTCTTATCAAGTTTCTCCATCAGATCATGTGCTTCAGTATCTATTCTGAGCTAGTCACAAATGGTATATAAACGAGAGAAGTAAATTCTTAAGACTTGGACACTTCAAAACATGAAAATTTAAAAAGTGTATATATAATATGCTTCTTATCCAATATACCTTGCGAGATCAGCGTTGATCTTTAGTCCTCCGATTGCACTTTGGACATACTGAAGAAGTTCCTCGCGCTTTGCCTAGAAAAAAAAGTAACACACAAGAGGCATTACAGAGCCTAAGTGACAGAACACAAGTTTTGTAATATCCATCACATCCTTACCAAAACTTCATCCTTGTATTTTGAAAACTGATAAGTTCGCACTTATCTTCTTCCCTGTTTAGATCTGTAAATCTCGTAACACACTCACAATGAATCAATAGAACGTTAAGTATATAAACTCAATCTCCAAAGTCGATTACAGAAGTCCAGAATCAATACTGAGAAGCTAAGATCTCATAACGATCAAAGCGAAGGTCTCATAACGACACTTCAACAATTCTCAGCATNAGCATAAGGAAAAAGAAAATGAAACAACGACTATTTATTCAAATCCTTCCAACGTTCTGTAACGGCAAAGCCTCTCCCTCAACTCGCGGCTTTGCTTCTCTTCTATTTCTTCAAACCTTCTCACTCTATCAGAGTGTCCGACCCTTCTTCATTTATTCCCACAATAGTATCTTCCTCATTACGTAAAGTCTCAGCTCCAGTATCCCTACACTCAACAATCTTCTTTGTTCCTCTCTTCCTGAAATAGACACGCTGGAACGTATCATTACCCCCCCCCACGAGACGAAGCTTGTCCTCAAGCGGAAAAGAGGGAAACTGGCGAGCAAACTCCCACCCCAACATCCAAGAAGCCTCATGAGAAGGAAGACTCTCCCACTGAACCAACACCTCCAAATACCCATCAGCTGTGTAACGAGTCTCCAAGATCGAAGTAGGAACCAAGATAAACTCGCCCTGATCCGAGAAGGTTGTCGGCAACGGAGTAAACTGTGTCGCAGACCCCACCACTGGCTTTAATTGAGAAATATGAAAGACAGGGTGGACACGAGAACCTTCAGGCAACTTCAAACGATAAGCAACTTTGCCTATTCGCTCCAAAACCTCAAATGGACCATAAAACTTCGCAGAGAGCTTTTGGCAGATACGTTTAACCACCGAGTGTTGGCGATAGGGGCGAAGCTTAAGGAACACGGAATCTCCTACTGCGAAAGACACATCACGCCGATGTTGGTCAGCAGATCGTTTCATTGCTGATTGAGCTCGCTCCAAAAACAGCTTCAACTGAGAAAGCATCCGATCACGCTCCACCAACATAGCTTCCAGCTCAAAGTTAGCAGTAGAACCACTCTCAAAACGAAGCAAAGAGGGTGGTTCTCGACCATACACCACCTTGAAAGGTGTGGTATGAATAGCCGTATGGTAACAAGTATTGTACCAAAATTCAGCCCAACAGAGAAAACGGAACCAAGTCTTAGGGTGTGCGGAAGAAAAACACCTCAGATAAGACTCCAAACAACGATTCAACACTTCCGTTTGCCCGTCAGTTTGCGGGTGAAAGGCAGTACTGTACTTGAGTTGAGTACCCGATAGTTTGAAGCATTCCTTCCAAAAAGAACTGAGAAAGACTTTATCTCGATCGGAAACAATGGAAGAAGGGAAGCCATGTAACTTCACCACCTCCGAGATAAATTTGGAAGCCACATCAACCGCAGAATACGGATGCTTCAGACCAAAAAAATGGCCATATTTGCTGAGACGATCCACAACCACAAAGATGACACTAAACCCACTCGAAGTAGGCAAACCATCAATGAAATCCATGCTAATGTCTTGCCAAATTTGAGACGGAATAGGCAGTGGTTGTAGAAGACCAGCAGGAGTAAGAGTAGAACTCTTATGCGTTTGACACACCACACACTGAGAAACATAATCTTGGACCATCAGACGCATTCCTTTCCACTGAAATGAACGTTGAATACGTTTCAGGGTTTTAAGAACACCAGAGTGGCCACCAAGGAGCCCATCATGACACTCCTGAAGTATCAGAGGAATGAAACGCGAAGTGTGTGGTATAACCAAACGCTTCTTATACCATAGCTTACCATCAACGACAGAGTAACCTTTCTTCACAGGTTCTCCGGCTGTGATCCGTTGTTTAAGAGTCCTAATGTCATCCGACAACTCAACCTCTGCATAGATATCTTGAAGTTGGATGACACTCGGAACAATTAAAGCAAGCAGATCAGAGCTAGTCCCCTCGGCAGAATCCTGCATCTGACGAGAAAGACCATCGGCAGCTTTATTTTCAATACCGGGTTTATAGATGATATCAAACTGAAAACCCATCAGACGAGTCAACCAGCGTTGGTACTCCATAGAAACCTCTCGTTGCTCCAAAAGGAACTTCAAGCTCTTCTGATCCGTATGAACGATGAACCGATGGCCAAGCAAATAATGCTTCCATTTCAAAACAGCAAGGACAATGGCCATGAGTTCACGTTCATAGATTGGCTTCAAACGTTCCCGAGGAGTCAAACTGTGACTGAAATACGCAATAGGTCGCTGCCGCTGCATCAAGACGGCACCCAACCCAAAGCCAGACGCATCAGTCTCCACGATAAACGGCTCTGAAAAATCAGGGAGAGCCAGCACAGGAGCAGTAGACATCGCTTTCTTAAGGTTATCAAAAGCAGTTTGAGCGGCTGACGACCAAAGAAAACTTTCCTTACGTAACAGATCCGTAAGAGGTTTAGCCAGCACTCCATAATGCCACACGAATCGCCTATAGTATCCCGTAAGCCCCAAGAAACCACGAAGGTCTTTGACATTACGAGGAGTAGGCCACTGACGCATAGCGGCCGTTTTCGCAGGATCTGTGGCAACACCAGCAGCTGAAATAATATGGCCAAGATAGTCCACCTGAGACTGTCCAAACACACATTTTTTCCGATTAGCAAAGAGCTGCTGATCTTGTAAAACCTGTAAAACCAACGCAAGATGCTCTAAATGCTCTGCTTCATTCCGACTGAAGACCAAAATGTCATCGAAAAACACCAAAACAAACCGACGCAAGTAAGGACGAAAGATATCATTCATGAGACCCTGAAAAGTGGCCGGAGCGTTCATCAACCCAAAAGGCATGACAAGGAACTCATAATGACCCTCGTGCGTCCGAAAAGCAGTCTTTTCAATATCAGCCTCTTTCATACGTATCTGATGATAACCCGAGCGCAAATCCAACTTAGAGAACACAGCAGCACCATGGAGTTCGTCCAAGAGTTGGTCAATCATAGGAATAGGATACTTGTCCGGGACAGTGGCACGATTCAAGGCACGATAATCAACGCAAAAACGCCAAGAAAAATCCTTCTTACGAACCAACAAAACCGGACTCGAAAAAGGACTACAACTGGGACGTATAATACCACTTTTCAACATATCGGCAACCATAACCGCCATAGCTTCCTTACTGGCATGCGGATAGCGATAGGGACGAACGGAAATCGAAGTGACTCCAGGAGATAGATGGATGGCATGTTCGCGACCTCGTATGGGAGGTAACTCAGTAGGAACCTCGAACACCGTAGGAAACCTGTCCAAAACCCTTTGAACTGCAGGAGAAACCGTAGAATCTGTCACCACCGTAGACCCCAACTCCAACACTTCAACCATGTCAGAAACAGAGATAGCTTTCAAAGTAGACGCAGGAGCACGTTTCAATAGAGAAGGATCACCACGCAATGTTACCGTCCCAGCACCGTACTTGAAAGTCATCTCATGTGTCTCCCAATTCATCAAACAAGTCCCCAAGGTGCGCAACCACGTGATGCCAAGGACCACATCGACTCCACCCAATTCCAAAGCCACAAAATCTCCAGCAAACTCAGCTCCCTGCAAAACAAATGGAACCTGTCGACACACTCCCACAGAATCCACCGAGACACCAGTACCCAACAACACCTGAAAACGACGATCAGTAGAGAGAGGAAGTTGAGCTTTCTGAACCACATGCGGAGCCACAAAATTATGTGTAGCACCACTGTCGATGAGAACCACAAACTCGAACGAGCCAAACACCCCTTTCAATTTAGTAGTAGTAGGTGTATCAATTCCCAAAAAAGCATTCAAAGACAGCTCAATTGAAACTTTATCAGGACCAAAATCATCCATAGCATACAAATCACAAAACTCATCCAAGATCTCGACCTCATAGCCATTAATCACCGTGATAATCTGTAACTCTTTCTTAGGACACACGTGCGGACGTTCATACGGACCCTTACACTTGAAGCATATCTTATCACGTCGCATTTGATCTAACTCGGCATCAGTGTAACGTTGACGAGGACGAACAGCAGCCCCAGAAGACTGTCCCTTATCAATCCCAGATTGTGTACGTGGAGTAGTGGACTGTTGTTGTGACCAAATGCTGGAGGAAGAGGAACGTCGAGCGCGCGCCTCAGGAACTGCAGAACTAACGGACTTGCAAAACGCACTACCTTCCATCCCAATCACAGCCGTGATGTGTTCAGTAAGACCCCTCGGTTCCTTCATCTTGATGACCTCCTGCATCTCCGGTTTCAAACCATTATAAAACACATGCTCCAAATTCTTTTCATCAATCCCAGTAACCACAGAACGCAACGCCTCAAATTCATTCACATACTCCATTATAGTACCAGTCTGTTGCAAAGAAAACAAACGTTTCCCTGGTTCATCCTCCAATTTCTGACGAAAACGCTGTACCAATCGCCTCTTAAACTGTAACCAATCCGTGAACGGATCATGATCCATTTCTGCATTAAACCAATTCAACACAGGACCCTCCAAACTCATAGAAACAAACTGTAACCGTTCCCTACCATGAAAATTTCCAATTCGAAAATATCGTTCTACACGAGCTAACCAGTCAAACGGATTCGTACCAGAGAATACCGGCATTTCAATCTTCTTCAACAGGCTTTCGCGAGTTTCGAAAACCGCTGGAGGCAGCTGAAATCCAGGAGGAACGACTGAAGCTGTAACTCGCGAAGACGACCCCGTAACCAGATCAGGAGTAATCGGAGAAGCGATTTTCTTCCCTTGCGCCTTCTCAGTTTGCTGATCCAACAGAAGTTGAGTCAATCGATCAAAACGCTTGTCCAACGCATCAAAACGAGTATCATAGGACGATAATCGCATCTCGATCGAATTGAAATGCTCCTCCGTCACCTTCGCCGAGATCTGCAATCGCTCGCACTCGGAATGGAGAAACTGCAACTCGTAGCTTGACGCCTCCGTTGAATCGATGAAATCACCAGAAACTCTACCAGAATCTTCAATCGTCGGCATCGTAGATTCGATCGGTCACAAACGCACCAATTTGATAAGTTCGCACTTATCTTCTTCCCTGTTTAGATCTGTAAATCTCGTAACACACTCACAATGAATCAATAGAACGTTAAGTATATAAACTCAATCTCCAAAGTCGATTACAGAAGTCCAGAATCAATACTGAGAAGCTAAGATCTCATAACGATCAAAGCGAAGGTCTCATAACGACACTTCAACAATTCTCAGCATNAGCATAAGGAAAAAGAAAATGAAACAACGACTATTTATTCAAATCCTTCCAACGTTCTGTAACGGCAAAGCCTCTCCCTCAACTCGCGGCTTTGCTTCTCTTCTATTTCTTCAAACCTTCTCACTCTATCAGAGTGTCCGACCCTTCTTCATTTATTCCCACAATAGTATCTTCCTCATTACGTAAAGTCTCAGCTCCAATATCCCTACACTCAACAATCTTCTTTGTTCCTCTCTTCCTGAAATAGACACGCTGGAACGTATCAAAAACACAATCGCTAAGTCCTTCACATTTTTGAATCACTGCTTCATGAACCTCCTTCTCTCCTGACAAACAGAGCCTGTATGTATCAACCAATGACCATATTAGACAAAATAAAAATGCTTCTTATACTCATAAAAATAATTGAGTTGAAGAGAAAGCATTACCCAAACAGTTCAAGAAGCAGCTGTACTTCTTCTTCATTTGGTGCTTCCAGAATCTAATTTAAAAAAATATGTATCTCAACAAAAGAAAAAACTCATCTTGTGTTGCTTCCACCGCAAGTATTCAGAATCAAAAGCAGAAGCAACACAAAGAATCTCATTCTTACCATAGATAAAACCATCCCTTCAAGAGCCTCACTATGAAGAAACACATCTCTAAAAGTCATTGGCTCACCAGGAAGACCAGGATCAACGTAATAAACCTAAATCCAATCCCACAAACACAATTACAACCCCCCAAAAAAAAAAAACACAATGTGTGACTAAAATCACTCACAGTGCTGAAACTTTTCGGAGAATCCTTAGCTTCTTCGGAACCAGATTGATTCTGATCGTCAATAATACTCTCGGAAGATATTCTCTCAATCTCTCTTAGAGCCACAAGCCACCTCCTCAGCAACTGCACTCTCTCGCCGCCTCGGGAAGAAACCGAGACCTCTTCGAGTCTCTTAACCGCGAGAGTAAAGCTCTTCACGTTCCTCGATCCCTGTTAGAGATCATTCAGCGGCTATACATTAGGACATCGTTAATATATATTGTCAATCTTTCCTAATGGTATGTGATTGACATCTTTGGCATTTAATTTCCAACTTCTTTCGCAAGTTATCGAATATAATGTAAGGCAAGTAATTAACGTAACCAAATATTTGAGATTGACATCTTTGACATTTAATTTCCAACTTCTTTCGCAAGTTATCGAATATAATGTAAGGCAAGTAATTAACGTAACCAAATATTTGAGATACGATTGTCATACCATTTGCACGGCTAAACAAAAAAAAATATAAACGAAAATTAAAATAAATCAACCAATCAGATTCTCAGAATTTCTCTGAGAATGTCTGTATAAGTGACATGTGTCCAAGTGACTTCTCTTTTAATGTATAGGAGGATATAATCAAGGGAAATTTGGAGATATTGATGAGACCATTTCCAAAATTTACATATGTTTTGAAACTAAAATACTTATTACAATCTAACACACTTTCTCTGTTTCAGAAAGGTAAATATTTTTTTTTGAAAACATCTTTAAGAAAACAATATTTCATCTTTATGTTTTTTTTGACAGCAACATAAACAGACCATTTTATGTATTTTTATTAGTTAATAATGACATATTACAAACATTTAAAAATTAATTGTAAATTTTTAACACTTTGAAAATAATTGTACTTATGAAAATACTATTAGTATAAGATTACTGAAAATTGATATATAGGAAAAACAGAGCACTTATTATCAAAATGTAATATATTTTCATAATATGTGGCAAAACACATAAATATACATCTTGTAGAAATATATGATGTATACTTATGTGTGTTTTACAGTCCATTTTGGAGTCTAATTTTGTTCATAAAATAAATAGCCAATCAAATGGACCAGCCCAAGAAAAACCTAATCCACCAACATTTAGTATTTTCTTAAATTAAAATATTTAGGATAATCTAAAATGTTTTGAAAAAATATAGGAAAAATGATTGACAGTTACCTGAAGTATTAGCCGCTACATAGCTGACCATGCAAAGTAAAAAAAAGTGCATACTCAGCTACATGAGGTATATGATATGCATAATAACATCCATGAATTTTATGTTGTTATGTATGCAACATCACAAGACCAATTATTCTAATTATATCACAAGGCTAATTACATTAATAAAAATATAAATATAAAAAACGTTTTAAGATGTGGAAAATATTTTTTATTTGATTTTTTATTATTAAGAATATTTTTATTAAAAAGATTTTTATACAATAATATTAAATTAATTTTATTTTAGAAAAAATTAAATTATTTTAATTTTACATATTTTCATTATTTTTTTTAATTTAGCATTTATTTTTATAAATGATTCAAATAATTATTTATATTTATAATGTAAGGATAGAAAAGTATTTGTTCTTTTTAATGAAACTACATAATTAGGTATATTAGAAAATTTTCATGTAAAGAAAGTACACATGAATAATGGTATCAAAAATGAGGTAAAAGTAATTTTTCCCTATTATTTTGTGTTAGGTTAACTGAAAGGTTTTATAAATAAAAATATGTTTTGGATTTTAAATAGTTAAGTCATTTATACAATATTTTTCAAAACATTTTTATGTCTTTATAAATGTCTTTATAAACATTTCAATAAACTAAATTGTTTTTAATATTTTTAATATTTTATTACAAAATCTTTTTTGCAATAAAATACTTAAAACTTTGGTTTATTGAAAATGTTTATAAAGACATTTTAAAGATATAAAACGTTTTGAAAAATATTTTCTTAATGACTTAACTATTTACATAATTATTTATATTATTATATTTTTATAAAAATTGGTAGAATAGTGTTTTTCCATTAGTAAAAATATATCTTTAATGAAGGAAAAAATGAATTGGGCTACAACAAATAGAGTAAAAATAAAATTTCACCTAACAAATCATATAGAAAAATAAAGGATAACTAACAAACTATTAAACATATAAATTAAAATAAAGTTAAAAAGTTATTTTCTGAAATAAAATTAATTTTTAATATTTTTGTATAACACTTTTTAAAATAAAATATTCATATAATAAAAATATAAAATATAAAAAGATTTTCCATATCTTAAAATATTTTTATATTTTATATTTATTATAAATGTAATTAATCTTGTGATGTAATTAATTGTACTAAGTATATCATATACTTCATATAGATGTAGTTGAGTGTGCATTTCTTTACTTTGCATGGCCAGTAATGTGATGGGCTTATGCCCAATATGTGGAGAAAGCCGACAACAAACTCACAATCTCCACCTTGGTGTCGGTCTCTGCCTCCACTGTCTGAGAAAAGACCCTAGCCGCCGATAAATCGCCTCTCTCCGCTTCCTTAAGAAACCCTCCAGAAAAATTCTCTTTTCTAGTTTCCAACCCTCGTTCTCCGGTTCTTTTGTCCTCACTTCAAACCTCTTCCATCTCAATATATCTCTAATCTCGATGTTCCATCTCTTCTGACTTCCGAGATGTCGTTTCCTCCTATCAGTCGTCCTCTCAGTTCCAAAGACAACTCGACCCAACATTCCTTTAAGCTTCGGTGATGACACCTAGCTTTGCCAAGCATCCCTCAAACTTCTCACTAGGTAATGTTTTCGTCAACATATTAGCTAGATTAACTGATGTGTGAATTTTTAGAACTTCCACTACTCCATCTGCAATGCTATCTCTGATGAAGTTGTACTTTGTAGCAATGTGTTTAGTCTTCTCCCTGTAGACAAAATTCTTTGTTAGATATATCGCACTCTGTGAATCACAATGTACCTCTAGTACTCCTCTGTATAGCTTTAGCTCTTCGCAAATTCCTTTTAGCCAAATATCTTCCTTTACTGCATCCGATAACGCCATATATTATGCTTCCGTTGTTGACAGGACAACCACCTTTTGCATTGACGACCTCCAGCTCATGGTGTTTCCTCCTATTGTGTAGACGTAGCCGGTAATGGACCTGCTTCTGTCCCTGTCTGTAGCGTAGTCTGAGTCGCAATATCCCCTGACCTTGAAGTCTTTACCTTTCCTGAAATTTAAGTTTAACTCCAACGCTCCTCTCACATACTTCATTATTCATTTGACCGCTAACCAATGTTCTCTTCCAGGTTTGCTCATGTATCTTCATACCAAGCTAACTGCGTATGCAAGATCTGGTCTGGACCCAACCATCGCATACATCAAGCTCCAAACGCACTAGAATAAGGTACTTCATCCATTGCTATTGCTTCCTTCTTTTCTTTCTCCTTAGGAATAGCTTGTAGCTTGAACTGAGATCCGAGTGGTGTACTCACTGCTCTGCATTCTCCCATGCCAAAAGCCTTTAAGACTTTGGCAAGATACTCATTTTGACTTAGTATAAGCGTATGTTCTGATCTGTTTCTGGTGATATCCATTCCCAGTATCTTCCTCGCTCCCCCTAGGTCTTCATCTCAAATTCCAAGCTGAGTTGATCCTTTAATTTCTAGAACATCTCCATCTTCTTAGCTGCTATTAGCATATTGTCTACATAGAACAATATGTAGACCATGTTTTCTACTTGTGATCCTTTTAAGTAAACACAAGGGTCGTATTCGCTTCTTGAGTAACCATGTTTGATCATAAATGTGTAAAACATGTAGTTCTATTCTCTCGGTGATTGTTTTAACCCGTAAAGTGACTTCCTTAGGAGACAAACCATATCCTTTTTCCCTTTCTTTACGTAACCTTCTGGCTGTTCCATGTATACCCTCTCCTTTAGAACACCATGTAGAAATTTTGTCTTTCTGTTTAGCTGCTATAAATCTAGGTTATAATGAACCACAGCAGATAGTAAGAGTCGTATTGAAACATGATTCACAACTGGTGCAAACACTTTGTTGTAGTCCACTCCTTCCGTCTGTGCATAACCTTTAGCAACCAGTCTAGACTTGTATCTAGGCCTTTCCACTCCTGGTATTCCCGGTTTGTACTTGTAGATCCACTTACAGCCGATAACCTTATGATCCTTAGGCCGTCTTGTGTAGTCCCATGTGTGATTCCTGTCTATGAGTCCATCTCTTCATCTGATGCCTCCTGCCACAGCTTCCATTCTTTACACTGAGTTGCTTCCTTGTAGCTTTTAGGTTCCTCCTGCTCTATGTCCTCTGCACTAGCCAGAGCGTAAGCTACAAAGTCCGTGTCCTCGAATCTTGATGGTGGACGTATAGTTCTCCTATCTATGTCCCTTGCCAACCAGTATGACCCAACTTATCTTCTTGATTTATTGTTGAATCATCTCCTCAGCTTAGCTGGTCATCATCTTCTCTAGTTGTTTCAACTTCTTCTGGACTCTTTGTTGGGGTTGATTCTTCCTGATCACTTACCGCCTCTGAACTCACTCCACCTGAATTTGAGCCTTCCCCAATGTAGAAATCCTCTAGATCTTCCGTAAACGTAACCTTCTTCCTTTTGTTTGGAGCCATAACCTCTTCAATCTTGTCCTTCCCTTTCTCTAGGTCTTTGAACAGCTTAGATTCATCGAATACAACATCCTTACTCACCACCAGCTTCTGATCTTCTACAAGCCATACTCGATAGCCTTTAACTCCTTGTGCATATCCCAAGAAGATGTCTTTTGCTGCTCTCGGACTTGTTTTTTTCTTTAACCTTATGCACATACGCAATGCACCCGAAACTCCTTAGATGATCATAGCTTAGTTTACCTCCTGTCCATCTTTCTTCCGGAATCTCAAAATTTATTGAAGATTTGGAGATCTATTTATCAGATATACTGCAGTGGAGGCATGTTCTGCCCAGTAACTTCCATCCAAACCAGTCTCCACCAGCATTGATCGAACCTTGTCCATAATGCTCCAGTTCATCCTCTATGAGATACCATTTTGCTGAGGAGTGTACGGACACGTCTTGTGTCTCTTAATTCCAGAGTCCTTGCATAGCTTTTCCATCTGATGGTTGCAGAATTCCAATCCATTGTCTGTCCTCAGACACTTGACTCTCTTCTCGGTTTGATTTTCCACAAGGAGTTTCCATTCTGCAAAACAATGAAACACTTCATCTTTAGTTCTTAGAAAGTAAATGCAGACCTTTTTAGAATAATCATCTATGAGAGTTAGGAAGTAGTGAGCCTCTGATAACCTTGATACTGTGTTTGGAGAACCCCAAAGGTCCGAGTGTATGTATTCAAACACTCCCTTTGAGTAACGCTTTGCTTTTGGGAACTTTTGTCTATTTGACTTTCCCATAGCACATCCTTCGCAGAA